ACATGAACCAGTTCCCTGTATGAATTTCTTTCTTTCTCCCAGTGGTCTGAAGCCTTAGATTCAAATGTCTCTTCCCATCCTTCCCCATAAATGCATGGATTTACAAACACAATTAGGAAGGATTTCAAGCCTCCCATTGACAGAGAGAAATCAAACTCTGGCCTGCTGGCAAGTCCACTACAGTTTTGAGTTTCTCCTCAGAGCTCTTTACTCCTATTCATTAGTGAATAAAAGAAGCAAGGGTGAAAAGTGTGTGTGAGACACACTATGTGCCCTCCTGGGGCAAGTCGCTTGTGCTTGAAGTGGTCAGAGTTCATTTCAACGTGGAAAGTCAGGACTGACCAAATCGAGACAACTAAACACATTAGGGTGAAACAGGGGGTCGTTACTTCTGTAATTTCTCCCATGGGAAGAGTCGCTTCTCATGCATGGCTGGTGCCATGACACAGTCAGTCAGCCAAGGGAGAGCCAACCAAAATAGTTTCCTTCAACCTACACAAACAACTCCAGGACTTCTCTGCAGTTCACATGTGAAATTCCTGCTACCTACTTCAAAGATATCTGGTTGAGGAAAAAGGCGTATCTTAGTACTGGATCTACTAAATTAAAAAATATTATTACCCAGAACCAGATTTTAGTTGGAGAACCTGCACACTCAGAGTGTCTATCTACTTTACCAAGGTTGATTTCATTGACAGTAAAGGCAGCTAAGGGCAATGGTCTAAAAAGGTTGATTGCTCTGTTGCTCTTGAACTACTTTGTTCATGCTTCTGATTCAAATGATTCTCAACGTGACACTTGGTTTTTTATGTATCACGAGCAAATTTCAAAGAGCTCTGGAAAACAGGGTTAAAAACACCAAGGAGGGAAAGGCTGGTGCATTCATTCCTGGCCACCTAGTCAATACTTCAGCAAATGCTTTCTCAAGTGGCTGCAATGTAGTATTGAAAGGCAATGAGGATACAAAGGACAGGACTCTGTCCCAGGCCTAAAGGAGCTCACACTTTAACACAAACAAGATGCCAGTGAGTTTGAAGCAAGCCCAGCCCGGGACTTGGGAAGGGATAACCCCAAACCCTAACCTTGCAGAAATATCAGGAAGAGTTCTGCATCTGACCATGAGTGAGTGAGTCTGAAGTCCCTGATCTCCCACTGAGAACAGGAGAAAACACTAAACAAAATAAGGAAAATGTGATTGAATGCATCAAAGAGCTAATAATCTAAAGAAGAAACATGGGGCTAAGATCCAGCAGAAGAAGGAAACCCAGGAGTACGGGCAGTCTGGCACTTGGGGCCACTTGTCTCGAGGTTTGTCAATGAATTCCGGAAGACGCCACTGAGATGCAGAAAAGCCAAGCAGAGTTTGCACACATGCGTGGGTTTAGAGGGAAAACAAGTGGAGTTCAGGGTCTGCCTATGAGGGTGTTCCCTGGTAAAACCCCCAGGCTTTGGTTCTGTCCCAGAAGAGGGACACACCGGGAGTAATGTGGACAGGAAACACCCCTGGCCTTTGTGGGGACTGAGACTGTGGTGAATGATCTCAGCCACCACTTGGATGAAGGAGAATCAGTACTGCCAGAACCCTTGACTGCATGCCGGGAGTAAACGCCCATCTTTTCTGGAGCAAGACACATCATCCTAGGCCTTAGATTTTTCTCTAAATTTTTCATACACCGTGTACTTCATGAAATAAGAATAACCATGTAAATGGCAGGACAAGACAATGTGATGTGCTCAAAACCTACAGGATGACAGAAATAAACCCAGAGCAGACTCAGATAATCTTTAAAATAACAGTTTTTACATTTCAAAGAAATTAAAAGGAACGAATATGAATTTCAGGAGAGAACTAGAAAATTTAAACCCCCTCCCCCCCAAAAAAAGTAACTGAAATTAAAAACTCCGATGATAACTCTACAAGCACACACACAAAAAAAGGGAGATTTAAAACATAGGAAGTTTGTTCTGAAAAAGCACCCAGCATGAAGCAGAGTGAGATAAAAGAATAAAAAATTCAGAAAAGTGTATAGGAGACACAGTGGAAGCAGTAAAATGTTTAAGTGAAATCCAAGGAGAGGAGAGAGGCAGAAGCAATCTGTGGAGAGGTAGGGGCTGAGATTTTTCTGAAACTGAAGACTTTAACCCACACATTCAGCTCATGACCTCCTGCAGCAAAAATACTCTTCCCTCTCCCCCTTCCACCCATCAACAACTAGTTCCATCTTAGGAAAACCACTGAAACACCAAAAACAAAGGGAAGTCACCTAAGGCAGCAGGGGTAAGAGACTAGAGACCTTCAGGTGAGCAAATAAAAAAATTACACTTGATCCTCAACAGAAACACAAAGCAGAAGACAACGGTTATCTTTAAAGTGCTAAGAGTAAATAACTGTAGAATTCTACATCCAGCAGAAATATACTTTTTAAAAAACAGAGTTAAATAAGGATGCTTTCACTCAAATGGTAAAGTTGGTCATTCAAACATGTTCTTCAGGTAGATGAAAGTCATCCCTGATGGAAGCCTAAAGAGGCTGGAAAGAATAAAGCTTGCACAAGGGGTAAATATGCATATACATCTAAATGAACTAGGTCCAGAGAGCACTGTACCATACAATCAAAGCAATGTCTTATGGGATTTCAAATATATAGAGAATTCAAATATACTGTGACAATAGTATGTAAGTCAGGAGGGGAGTAAATAATGTTAAAACCCAAGAAGAGGTAAAAATACTAATTCATATCAGACTTCAATAAATCAAAGAAGCAGACCAATTTTAGGGTCATTCCAAAGAAGAGTCAAACAACCTGTAACTACCAAGACTAGACAGAGAAAAACACTGTAAATAACTAAATATGCCAGAGATGGGAAGAAATAAAGAAACAAGGAATTTATGCAACTCATAATATGTAGATTAACCCCAAATATATTCAGAAACTATATTCTGTGTAGAATAATGAGCAGTCAGTGTCCAAGTCTCTCCACCTACTTCTGCATCATCTCCTTCCAGGAATAACTTTCACTGCTCAGTGAAAACAGAAAGAGCGGAAAAGTGACTTGTCTGGTTTCAGTGTTTAATGGCATCAAACAGTCGTGGCCTGAATCTTGAAAAAATACTAACCTGTATTTACTCAGCAAGAGCAATGTTCTCAAACTCTGCCAAGGACACCAAAGAATAAAGTATGGGACAGACACAAATATCAATGGCTACAAAAAGCCCATTTTCAGAGAAACCAGGTGTTTTTCTGGAGGAAGAACCCAAAATGTGTACATTTCAAAAGTTCGGTAACTCCGAATTTGAGATGTAGATATGTGAAGAGTAATGAATTACCCAAGTATACCTACCAAAGAAGACTTTCCATGGAAATCAAGACAGAAAGGACAGATTGAATCAGGCAAAAAACATGGTGGTAACTATACTAAATAATTACAGTGATCTACATGGGCGCACACGTTCATGCATACAACAGTATTTGTAACAAGGACACATGAACATCTTACTCTTCTGAGGCCTTCTTTCTCTGTTCATAGATTTCGTCAAGAATCTTTAATTTCATCCTCAGGATTTGGCATTCCGCTTCCTTTGCAGCTTTCCGCACCATCAACAAATTGCAGTCAACTTCCAATTCTGTCTTGTATGCTATAAAGGATAAAGCATTTTCCTCTGTATGTGTGCCCGTGGACTTGTGGACTTGGTTGAGGCAGAGGCACGAAAGGGGTGACAACCCTTAATGCAGGAAGCCATTCTGTACCTTTCCAGTGCAAAATTATTCCCACCCCAATGGACATTTCTTCCCACCAAGCAATTTACCTTGCAGGTTACATTTACTGGACATCAAGGCTCTCAGCTTGAACTGTAATAGTTTCAGATCCTCCTCAACTGCTGATACTGCAGTTTTTGCCTAAGAAATCCAACGAGGGAAATATTGTTAAAAGGGGAGCATACAGAAGAGACTCCCAGGAAACAGGATCCTCTGTAAAAAGGAGCACACCTGGGAGACATCCATCATCTGTGTCTTCTGATCTTGCATCTTCCTGTTCTGGTCACCTAAAAACAAAAAGTTGAATTGCTCGATAATCTTTTGCCCCTGAACTTTATATTTTCTTGATTCTAGAGCTTTCCAAAAGACTAAACACTTATTTCATCATGTTCAAATTTTCAAAGAAAAAACAAATTAGCCACCAGGATTGGAAGTAATTGACTTCAAAAATATATATATATATATAATTTACATGCCATAAATTTCACTCTTTGAAAGTGTACAATTCAGAGGTTTTTAGTATAGTCACAAAGTTGCAGAACCATCACCACTATCTAATTCCAGATCATTTTCATCACTCCCAAAAGGAAACCTTGTACCCATTGGCAGTTACTCCCTACTTCCCTCAGACACTCTTCCTTCCCCAACCCCATTCCTCAACCTCTAGCAACCAGGAATCTACTTTCTTTCTCTATGGATTTGCCTCTTCTGGATATTACATATGGATGGCATCACATAACGTGGCCTTTTGTGTCTGGCTTCTTCCACTCAACATAATTTTTTCCAGGTACATCCATGATAAACCATTATTAGTACTTCATTTTTTTTTTTATTGCCAAATAGAATTCCATTGTATGGATATACCACAATTTACTTATTTCTTTACCACTTGATGGACATTTGGGTTGTTTCCACTTTTTGGTTATTATGACTATGACTGCAATGAACATTCATGTACAAGTTTTTGAGTGGATAAATGTTTTCTTTCTTTTTTGGTTACATACCTAAGTGGAATATTCATATGGCAATGCCATATTTTACTTTTTGAGGACCTGCCACACTGACTGTCACACTTCACCATTTGAGATTCTCACCAGCAATGTACAAGGGTTCCAAACTCTCCACATCCTCACCAACACTTGTTATTGTCCATCTTTTTAAATGATAGTCACCCTAGTAGGTGTGAAGTAATACCCCACGGAAGGTTTTTAAAAATAACACGTTAATTAAGATATCATTCATATACAATGCAAGTCACCTACCTCAAGTGTACAACTCAAAGGAATTGAGAAACTAGGGTTCTAGGTTTGCCCCCTGCTCTACTGTGTCCCAGCACCCACCTGGACCCCACCAAGCCAACACTTAGAGGAGATTCAGCCAGTTCAAGAGAGCATTGGTGACCTAATTAAAATCAAAGGGATCCAGCCTCCCTGAGATTAATCTTACCTGCCAGTTTTCCATTTCCTAATTCTTTTATGCTTGGATTTTGGCCCTCAGACTTCAATTCAGACAATAAATACAATTGTGAAATGCAACTAATCAATCCCTAGAAAAGGAACAAGACTGCATTACAAACAGCCTCTTAATTTTAACTAAGAAGATGTCAAACTTCATTCATGAGAATGAGCTTACATCAATATCATTAACTCTTTGAGTTAGAGCTTCTTCCAAATCTTTCTCAAACATTTCTATTGGTTTGATTAGTTCACTGAGCTCAGCGTGCTCTTTTTGATAGCCTACAACTTTCTGCTGCAACTGAAAAGCAAAAATCAAAAACAAAAGAAGAATTAGATTTAAAAAGTCAGGATTTTGCACAAGAGACTTTGAGACCATATGACTGAGGCAGGGAAAGAGGAAGCTAGGTCTCTCCTTGGCTTGTCACCCTAGAGTCCAGCCAAGGCCTTGGTGAAAAGGAGGAGGAAGGTGCCCCACCCTCAACGCTAGAGTAAGGACAGAATTGGATGTTTGGAGCCCCAGAAATAGCTGTCAAGGAAGTAAATACCGTGATGGTGTAGAGCATCCTTCAGACATTCCTTTCATGCCCAAATAAAAACAGTTTCCAAGTAGGCAATTGACATGCTTCACTCCCAGAGTGAATGGAAGGGCCTGTCTCCCAGTTAGAGTCTGTGCCAGCTGAGGACTCCATAGGACGTGACCTCACCTCGTCACTGAAGCACTAACTGGTCATGAAGTTCTTCAGGGACCTGACTCCTGGCCTAATTAGCCTGTGCATCATCCCCATGAGGCTACTCAGGTTAGTAGTTGGTTGGTGTGTGACAGGACAAACAATAAACCTCCTGATGGCCACAGGGAATTGTGCAGAAGATAAGAAATGCAGAAGAGGTAAGTGATGTGGACATGCTCCTGACCTAAGACCACATTTCAAACTCTGTGAATCTGAGGAGAAAATCCTGTACTCAGGTCTCCTAGCCTTAAAACAGATTTGAGAAAATACATAAAGAAGGGGTGATTTTCTGTTCTCTGATTATACAATCTATGGAAGTAGCTTTTTAGTTACCTGCTCCTTCTTGGTCTGAAGCTGAGCATTGTCCTCCTGTACCTGCTCTAGTTCAGCCTTCAGTTTCCCTTCAGTCACTCGAGTTTCTTCAAGAGCAGCTTCAACCTTCAGCAAAAAATTCCCATTAATGAATTAATTTCCAATGACCAAAAGCATGTTCCATTATTCCTTCTTGTTGCTGTTGTTAGGTGCCATCGAACTGATTCCAACTCATGGCAACTCCATGTATGCAGAGCACAACTGCTCCAAAGGGTTTTTAAGGCTATGACCTTTCAGAAGCAAATCACCAGTCCTGTCTTCCAAGGTGCCTCTGGGTGGGTCTGAATTACCAGGCTTTCGGCTAGTAGTCAAGCACGTAACTGTTTCTGCCACCCTGGGACTCCTTATTATTTCCCCTGTTGTTGTTGTTAGGTGCCATGGAGTTGATTCTGACTCATAGCAACCCTACAGGGCAGAGTAGAACTGCCCAATAGGGCTTCCTCGGCTGTAATCTTCACAGGAGCAGATCGCCGTGTCTCTTCTCTCATGGAGCAGCTGGTAGGTTAAAACCACCAACATTTTGGTTAGCAGCTAAGTGCTTAACCACTGCGCCACCCTAGACATTATATAATTTTAATATTCTAAGACATGAAATATTTGTTTCCCAACAAATATTTCAAATATTTGTTTCTCTGCAAAGCTAAAGTAAACAATGGAACTTCTACAGCAACTGTAGGTAGTTTACCTCTGACAGTTCTGAGATATTTATTGAAGTTAGATGTTTCAAGTTCTCGATAGACTTTTCTTGTTCCAATATCTGCATGTAGGAGAGAAAAATACATGTATTAGGATTTCAATAGATACATGGAGTGATATGATACAAACAAGAAACATCAGCCACACCTATCTCATAGCTAACACCTATATTTCAGGTAAAGACAGTTGATTCGGTTTGTATTAAGGAGAAAAGTCAAGCACATAAACAAGAGAGGAACAAAGAAAGTTCGTGAAGGCGTAAATATTCCTGAGCACCCGCAACCTTTCTGCTCAATGGGATACATGACTGGGTGAAAAGATGAAAGCAAATGAAGTAGAAAATCCTTCCAGCAGAACAGCTTAAATGAATGGCTGTTCTTAATGGAAGACACGAAACTTGGCCAAATTCACTTTGAAAATTCTCTGTTCTGCACACAGAGGGGTAGGACTGTTCAGCTTGCCTGGAAATCTCAAGAATCATCTCTCTCCTACAGTTTCTCAGCTCTTCCTCAGTCTCCTGGAGGGCAGTGCCAAATGATGTGAGAACTACCCAGGTTTGTGGGGGGAGAATATATATACAAATATATATACGTATATATATATATATATGTCTCCTTCTTAGACCCTGAAATATAAAAAGCCACTGTGGGATGAGTACCTGAAATTCCAGATCATTGTTCAGAAAGATGTCCAGTTCCCCAGACACCCACTCTGAACACTGTCGACAGCATGGAACAATGTAGGGCCCAGTTTCCCAATGTACAAAAAGGTTCAAAAGTCAAGTTACAGTAACGTGGAGCAGCAAAAATCTTACCCAGTCCTGATTCCTCACGTTCTGTTTCCTCTCAGATTGTAGCACAGCACGCGTCCTTTGAATGGTGTCACTCAGGATTGCATCAGTCCCTTCAAGTGTTTTGATGTTATCCTTCAACAAAGCATATGGAGACCAGTAACAATTACTCATTACTTCTACTTCTGTTTTTAGAATGTAATCTAGGAAAAAGAAAGATTTTTACCTTAAATTTCCTGGCTTCATCAGAGAAAATCTTATCTTCTTTCTCAGTTTCCTGAAGACATTTTTTTGATTCATTGATCTATACAAATATGTAATAAAGGATTCAGAAGTCAAAAATATTGTTGCAAAGCCTAGCTCCAAATTGGTGACTCCTTACAGAAATAATGAACATAGTATTTTACATGTGTGATGCTTGCTTTAAGTTTGGGTTGTTTATAGACAAGGATGAAATAACAAGACAAATGAAGAAATATTAAAATACTTTAACTACAAGAAGGTGGAAATAATTCAAAGTGAAGTGATTAAAAAAAAAAGTTGAAAGGACAGTTATACCTTCTGTTCATAATTAAGTATCTTTTCTACAAGCTCTGTGTTTTCCTTCCCGTAATTCTTAATCTTCTCAGAAATTTGCTCTAAATTGACTAAAAAAAGAGAAAAACGATTTTTAAGATTATTAGAAAACCCGTAACAATGAATTACCCCCAATGAATTAGGAGCAAAAGCATATACTCTGGCACTATGAATATAAATATAGTTTTAGCATTACTACTATGCCTGAAGAAAGCATATATTAGTTAATGGCATTTAAAATTTAAGAAAACAAATATGGAAATAAGATCCCTATTTCAATGAGATTCCTATTTAATCTTCTCAAGTTTGGGGAAACAGAGTAAGTAAAATGTCTTAGCTTAATAGCGCTCCCTTTTCTAAGCACCATTCTTCTTAGAAAATGCCAATTACGTCAAATAGCTCTGCCATCACCAGAGGTAAAACAGACAGAAAAATTGAACTTCCTATCTACTTATAGTTCTTAGCCCTCAGCTTCTTGATAGGCACAAACTGTGTCTTACTCATTTTTAGTTTTCCTCTACAGCCAAGCTATGCCAAACGATTCCCTCCAAACTTCACACTTACATCATCAACAGTTTCTTAAACATTTCTGCCCCAAATTAAACTCATTCTCTTCTCCCTACTCCCAAAATTCATTCTACCCCTTGGTCTCCTATCTCAGTTGGCCCCTCTATCATCTCTGTCATCCAGGCTGACAACCCAGAAATAGTTACATTTTCAAGAGTTAACAAGTCAACCAGACATCAGAGGTCAATGTATTTACTTCTAGCTGAATTAGAATCCATATCAAACACCAGCACTGGGAAAAGATTACAAAGACAACATAAGCCTAAAATCTCACCTTGATAGACTGGAGGCTTTACCTAGATGTGGGGGACACAAAATTAAATTAGATGTTAAAAATAACCACTAATAAGAATCTATAGTTACTGATAAAACTGTTAAAATTATAATCCATTGAAATTATAATAGTGGTTTAGTTCAGCATAATGAATTAATGGGATTAAAAACAAGAAAAAGCTAGAAAGAGTTTCCTGTTTAAGTGCTGATACTTTATAAACCATTTCTGATAAAGAAAGAAAATGCCTTGTTTGACCCAAAGATCTGTTTACATTCTGTTCAATAACCACCAAACTACTTAACCTTAATAAAGGTAGACATTGTCATAGTAAGTATGCTAATGTATCCTTTACCTTAAATTATTTGTCAACCCTAATAATAAGGCCCAGACCAGGGATTTTTTTTTTTTAATAATATTTCATTGTTTTTTGGTGAAAGGTTACACAGCAGATTAGTTTCCCATTTAGCAATTACTACACAAATTGTTCAGAGGCACTGGTTACATTTTTCACAATGTTTTCATACTCTCATTAATTCCCTTTTGGACTGCTTCCAGTAATCTGGTTTCCCTGTCCCTTTACCCTTTCCTCTTTGCTTTAGAGTGATTGTTGACCATTTGGTCTCATACTGATGATTTTTTAAAGGAGTACAGTACTCACTGGTAATATTATTTATTTTATGAGCTAATCTGTTATTTAGCTAAAAGGTGACTTCAGGGGGTAGTTTCAGTTCAAGGTTTATGGAGTATCTCAGGGCAATAGTCTCGGGGAGTCCTCTAGTCTCAACCAGTCCAGCAAGCCTGGACTTTTTAAGAATTTCAGTTCTGTTCCACACTTTTCTGCATAATTGAATTGATGGGAAATTCTACCACAGGCAAAAGCAATCCACACTGACATAGAGTAGATCTGCGGTGGCCTAGGGCCAGGGATGGAGTACTTAGATGGCAAAAAGGGACAAGGAACAATGTTGAAGCAATGAAAAGGCTACATATCCTGCTTATAGGAATGGTTATGATTGATATCGACTCCCTAGATGGAGCAAACAGTCAGTGTGCTCGGCTGCTAAATGCAAGGTTGGTGGTTCGAGTTCACCTAGAGGTGCCTCGGAATAAAGGCCTGGTGCTCAACTTCTGAAAAATCAGCCACTGAAAACACTATGGAGCACAGTTCTACTCTGGTGCCCATGAGTTACAATCGACTCGATGACAACTGTCACAGGTATTATTGATACAATCAGAAAACCATTATGCTATTTCCATTTAAAGAAGTGATGTCTCAGAATTTGTAAAAACTAAAAACAAAAACTATGTCCAAACTTTAACTCTGCACATACACAAAAGCACTCAAAAGAACTAAAATTTCAGATTTTAGATGTTACATAACCTTTACTTTCAAAGAAAAATATATTTACTGACCACAATGGTATCTAATCTAATCAGAAGATTCTAGAAATAGACATGTGTTAGAAAAAAAAAAAAAATAAGAAAAATGCCTCATCCTGTTTAAATATATTTTTAATACCCATTCTAGGGTATTTTCACGTAGTACTTTTTCACTCTCTGTGTGTAGAAATATATACACTTTCAATTCCACAGTATAGAAAATCCTAGTTTCTGCATTTTTCCACTTGTCATTATAATAAGAGCATTTTCCATGTCCTGAAATATCTTTGAAACATATGACTCTTAGAAGCTGCCTCCACTGTGAGGATTTACACTAGTTACACAATCCCTCTACTATGGGTCATTTAGTTTGTAGCCACATTTTCACTGTAATCTATCCTGTTTCACTGAGTGTGCTCTCACCAGGTCCTTGGATGCTAGTGTGGTCATTTCATCAGGGTAGATGACTGGATGTGGGATTGCGCTGAATAAAAGGGTGTGAGGGTTTTGAAGGCTTCGGGTACACAGTGTTACACGTTTCGGGATGGTTGTGAGAATCCACAGTTCCGCTACCAGTGTATGAAAGGGTCCCCAGAAGAGTTAATATTTATTATTTCTTTTCATGGGAAAAATATATAAATTGAAGTTTTCCCACTGAAATTATATAGTTGTCTTGTTCACCAAGTTCTTTACTAAAAAAGATGAGATCATTTTACACGATTAGCTTTGCTTTCAATCAATTTGTGTTCACATTAGTAATCTAAAAGGGCTGTGACTATAAAAATCCCTGATTATCTATAATTCAAAGCATATCTATAAAGTACTTTAAAATACTTACAGCAAAGATAGTGCTCCAAACGAAAATGGCTAATATAGCAATCCCCAAGTAGGTAGCAATAATGACAGGCTTCCAAGGAAGTCCATAAAAATCAGGCCTAGGGTGAAAATTGTCTGGCAGAACGTCAATTAGCTGAAATAACAATATTTGAAATCATGAGATGACTCAAAGAAATGTACAATATAACAGTCACATAGAATCATCAATAGAAACCCTAAATCAGCCTCCAAGAAGTAAACCCACCACTGCTTCCAGGACGACTGGAAACTGACCGCCTCGTGTTTCGTACATGGCCGGCAGTGTAGCTGGACATTGTGAGTGTGGTCGTCTCTAACAGGGCTCAGTTTCTGGTTCACCAGAGGCTCTACCTTCTCTAGTGTCTAACGCTTAATCACACTTTTCTCATGGATACATTGATTTTTTTTTAATATCTTAAAGACCAGCATAAAACAACTAATTAAAAAATACAGTAGAGAAATGACTTTATTTAGCAATAATCAACTTTTAGGGCTTGAATAAAACCGAAGTGGTATTAATGAATATGACTCTAACAATGTGAGATTTCCCTAAGATCCTTGATTTTATTTCTATTCCATTCTTACTGAATGAAGACAAAGACTTCCTGTGAGTAAGTTCAGGCTGTCCTGATAACTGGTCTGGAGAGACAGTTCTGGATTTAACTGTTTGTTCTTTAAAACTCAATACCTATGATCAAGTGGGATTTAGCTCAGGAATGCAAGGGTGGTTCAACATTAGAAAATCAATCACTGTAATGCACCACATTAACAGAAGAAAAGAAAGAGCAGACATGATCATCTCAATAGACACATCTTAAAGGAAAGGCATTTGACAAAATTCAACACGCTTTCATGATAAAAACACCCAATGAGATAGGAAAAGAAAGGAAAATTCTCAATGTAAAAAAGACCATTTATGAAAAACCCACAGCTAACATCATACTCAATGGAGAAAGACTAAAGCTTTCTTCTTAAGATCAGAAACAAGACAGGGATGCCCACTCTCCACTGCTATTCAACATTGTTTTGGAAGTCCCAGGCAGAGCAATTAGGCTAGAAAAAATAAATAAATAAATAAAAGGTATCCAATTGGGAAGGAAGATAAAACTATCGGTTTTTGCAGGTGACATGATCCTATACATAGATAACCCCAAAGAATCCACAAGAAAGTTATTAGAACTAATAAATGAATTCAGTAAAGTGGCAGGGTACAAACTCAACACACAAAAATCAGCCGGGTTTCTATACATCAACAATGAGCAAGTGGAAAAGAAAATTAAGGAAACAATATCATCTAAAAGAATAAAGCGCCTATGAATAAATTTGGCCAGGAAGGTTAAAGATTTGTACACAGAAAACTACAAACCATTACTAAGAGAAATCAAAGACGACCTATAAATGGAAGGGCATTCTGTGTTTAGGTACAGTCATTCTTCACTTAATGTCCATGATACACTCTGAAATAGGACATTATGTGATTTGGATGTTCTGCGAACATCATACAGCCATGCGCCGCATAACGTCCATTTAGGCAACGTCCAACCACATATACATCCGTGGTCCCATAAGGCCTGTCCCCTCCCCCACCCCACTCTACCTGCAGAGCAGGTGCCTTCCTCTTCCAGCCTCACCTAATGGAAGACACCTGTCCTGAAAGTAGGACGTGGTGGGGGAAGAGACAGGCATCTATGTTTTGCTGTGTATATTCTCAACAACAAGAAAATGAAAAAAAAAAAAAAAAAAAAAGAATGAAACAGGATCCATGCCTCACACTGTACACAAAAATGGATTGAGGACCTAAATGTGACAATTAAAACCATAAAATTCTTAGAAGAAAATATAAGGGCAAGGCCTTAGTCCTAATTTTTTTTTAATTGTGCTTTAGGTAAAAGTTTATAGCTCAAGTTAATTTCTCATACAAAAATTTATTCACATGTTGTTATGTGACATTAGTTGCAACTCCTATAATGTGACAGCACACCCCCCCTTTCCACCCTGGGTTTCTTGTGTTCATTCAACCAGTTCCTGTCCTTTCCTGACTTCTCATCCTGCCTCCAGACAGGAGCCGCCCGTTTGGTCTCGTGTATCTAATTGAATTAAGAAGCACACTCTTCACCAGTATTACTTTATGTTTTATAATCCAGTCTAATCTTTGTCTGAAGAGTTGGCTTTCGGAATGGTTTTAGTTCTGGGTTAACAGAGCATCCAGGGGCCATGGCTTTGGGGTTCCTCCAGTCTCAGTCGGACTATTAAGTCTGGTCTTTTTACTTGAATTTGAGTTCTGCTTCACACTTTGCTCCTGCTCCCTCAGGGACTCTCTGTTGTGTTCCCTGTCAGGCCGGTCTTTGGTGGTAGCCAGGCACCATCTAGTTCTTCTGGTCTCACGCTGATGGGAGTCTCTGGTTTATATGGTCCTTTTGTCTCTTAGGCCAATATTTTTCTTGTGTCTTTGGTTTTCTTCAGTCTCCTTTGCTCCAAGTGGGTTGAGACAAATTGATGCATCTCATATGGCTGCTCGATGGCTTTTAAGACCTCAGATGCCACTCACCAAAGTGGGATGCAGAACATTTTCTTAATAAACTTTGTTATGCCAATTGACCTAGATGTCCCCTGAAACCATGGTCCCCAGACCCCAGCCCCTGCTACTCTGTCCCTCAAAGTGTTTGGTTGCATTCAGGAAACTTCTTAGCTTTGACTTTAGTCCAGTTGTGCTGACTTTTCCTGTATTGTGTGTTGCCTTCCCTTCACCTAAGATGATTCTTGTCTATTATCTAGTTAGTGAATTCCCCTCTCCCTCCCCACCCTCATAACCATCAAAGAAGTTTTCTTCTGTGTTTAAACTTTTTCTTGAGTTCTTATAATAGTGGTCTCATACATTATTTGTCCTTTTGCAATGACTAATTTCACTCAGCATAATGCCCTCCAGATTCATCCATGTGGTGAGACGTTTCAAGGATTCATCATTGTTCTTTATCATTGTGTAGTGTTCCATCGTGTATATGTACCATAATTTGTTTATCCATTCTTCTGTTGATGGGCACCTAGGTTGTTTCCATCTTTTTGCTATTGTGAACAGTGCTGCAATGAACATGGGTGTGCATATGTCTACTCATGTGATGGCTCTTATTTCTCTAGGATATATTCCAAGGAGTGGGATTGCTGAATCATATGGTACTTCTATTTCTAGCTGTTTAAGGAAGCGCCAAATTGATTTCCAAAGTGGTTGTACCATTTTACATTCCCACCAGCAGTACGTAAGTGTTCCAGTCTCTCCACAACCTCTCCAACATTTATTATTTTGTGTTTTGTGGATCAGTGCCAGCCTTGTTGGGATGAGATGATATCTCATTGTAGTTTTAATTTGCATTTCTCTAATGGCTAATGATCATTAGCATTTCCTCATGTATCTGTTAGCCATCTGAATGTCTTCTTTGGTGAAGTGTCTATTCATATCTGTCATGGATTGAATTGTGTCCCCAAAAAATATCTATCAACTTGGCTGGGTCATGATTCCCAGGAGTGTATGACTGTACCATTTTGTAATCTGATGTGATTTCCTTATGTGTTACAAACTCTATCACTACGGTGTAATAAGATCAATTAGTGGCAGTTATACTGATGAGGTATACAAGATTGGATAGTGTCTTAATCCAATCTCTTTTGAGATATAAAAGAGAGAAGCAAACAGAGACACATGGGAATCTCACACCACCAAGAAAGCAGTGCCGGGAGCAGGGTGCATCCTTTGGACCTGAGGTTCCTAGGCTAAGATGCTCCCAGACCAAGGGAAGACTGATCCATTACAAGGACCTTCCTTCAGAGCTGACAGAGAGAGAAAGTCTTTTCCTGGAGCTGATGCCCTGAATTTGTACTTGTAGCCTACTGGACTGTGACAGAATAAACTCTTTGTTAAAGCCATCCACTTGTGGTATTTTTGTTATAGCGGCACTAGATGACTAAGACAATATCCCTTGCCCATTTTTTTAATTGAGTTATTTGTCTTTTTGTTGTTGAGGTGTTGCAGTATCTTGTAGATTTTACAGATTAGACCTTTATTGGATATGTCATAGCCAAAACTTTTTTCCCAGTCTGTAGGTTCTCTTTTTGCTCTTTTGGTGAAGTCTTTTGCTAAGTATAAGTGTTTGATTTTTAGGAGCTCCCAGTTATCTAGTTTCTCTTCTGGTGTTTGTGCATTGTTACTTATGCTTTGTATTCTGTTCATGCCATGTATTAGGGCTCCTAGCATTGTCCCTATTTTTTCTTCCATGATCTTTATCATTTTAGATTTTATATTTATGTCTTTGATCCATTTTGTGTTAGTTTTTGTACATGGTGTGAGATATGAGTCTTGTTTCATTTTTTTGCAGATGGATATCCAGTTATGCCAGCATCGTTTGTTAAAGAGACTGTCTTTTCCCCAATTAATGGACTTTGGGCCTTTGTTAAATATCAGCTGCTCATAGGTGGATGAATTTATGTCTGGATTCTCAATTCTGTTCCATTAGTCTATGTATCTGTTATTGTACCAGAGCTAAGCTCTTTTGGCTACCGTGGTGGTATAATAGGTTCTAAAATCAGGTAGTGTGAGGCCTCCCACTTTGTTCTTCTTCTTCAGGAATGCTTTACTTATCTGAGGCCTCTTCCCTTTCCATATGAAGTTGTTGATTTGTTTCTCCATCTTGTTAAAAAATGTCGTTGGAATTTAGATCGGGATTGCACTGTATCTGTAGATCGCTTTGGGTAGAACTAACATTTTCACAATGTTGAGTCTTCCTATTCATGAGCACAGTATGTTTTTCCACTAATGTAGATCTCTTTTGGTTTCTTGCAGTAGTGTCTTGTAGTTTTCTTTGTATAGGTCTTTTACGTCTCTGGTTAGTTTATTCTTAAGTATTTTATCTTCTTGGAGGCTATTGTGAATGTTATTGATTTGGTGATTTACTTTTTTGAAGTTCTCTTTGTTGGTGCAGATGAGTCCAACAGATTTTTGTATGTTTATCTTGTATTCTGATACTTTGCTGAAATTTTCTACTAGTTTCAGTAGTTTTCTTGTAGATTCTGTGGGGTTTTCTGTGTATAAAATCGTATCATCTGCAAATAGGGATACTTTTACTTCTTCCTCACCAATTTGGATGCCCTTTCTTTCTTTTTCTTGCCTTATTGCTCTGGCTAGGACCTCCAGCACAATGTTGAATAAGAGTGGTGATAAAGGGCATCCTTGTCTGGTT